GGAAAAAGTAGGTCATATTCATGAGTTCTATGAAAATTTCAAATAATGTAATTTCCAAAAACTTATTCTAACATGAAAATATGTATCATTCCAAGTAACTTCTTCATTTGGTAATAAAATGCAAGTTCTTCCCATATATTTTCACATTTAAAATGGTTATTCATTGTTTTGACTTATATAATAAAGACATATTATTTATGTAGCATTAATTACTAAAATTTACATCAGTATAACTACGAGATAAATTATTTAATGTACTTCATTATCTTCAAAGTTACTTTAACCTCAAACCTACGAAATAGGAAACCTCTAAAATATTATCATGCTATAAGACAATATTCTATTCCTGATTGTTAAAAGCTTCTTATTGATCAAATTTGTGCTATTAAATGTCTTATTTAAATAAGTAGAAAAAATTGTATCAACATTTTGCTTTATTTCAGTTGAAATAGAGCAGGATGAATTTGAATGTTCTAAGAGCAATTATGGACAAGGCTTTGACTTGTAAAGCTGTAGATTATGAATTTAAATTCCAATTATCAATTGATTTGAACCAAGTTAAATATTACAGCACGGAGGGCTAAGACATAGTATTGTTAAATATGTATAAGCTGTTGCATGTCTTTATAAATTCTACTGTACCTCATACAAAGCTATCAGTCTCCAGAAGCATTACAAAAATAAGAAAAGCTTATAACAATATTAATATGTTATAATAATTATACTTATTTTCCAAGGAGTGATCCAAAGTATGACTTGAGGATGAAAATCTATTCAAGATATTTTTTAGCTTTAAATACTTTTTGTTGTAAATTTATATGTTCATACCATTAGTACATTCAAAAGTCACCTGAAAGAGAACCCCAGAAGAGTAAATTTTTTATTTTAGATCTTAGATGATACAGACAGGATATGTGTAAAATTTTAAACCTGGATCATGGCAAAAGAGTATCAGTGTTTGTTATCCTTGTTCAGTGGAAGCCAATTTAACTTAATAGTATAAATTATTATGTTAATAAAAGTTATTTTGGCAAATGGGAAATTATACAATTGTCATTGAGATGGCAGAAACCAAGTGGTTTATTCTTTTGAATATTTTTCTGGAAACTTGCTTCCAAGTTAGCAACACTTTTATAATAAAACCATCCATCAATGGGGTAACCCTGGTTGGGTGGTAGTAAAGGGTGGAATTTATTAATCGGAAACTTTTCAAATCTATTACCATCTATGTTGTCCATTTAGACTTTCTATGAGCCATTTTATTTTATATAATAAGTGTCCCAAAAAAGAGAGACTAACAAAACAAAAAGGACCATACAACTTACACTATTTCCTTGTGCCTCCCAGACATGATTCTAAACAACTAAGCCTGTGGTAACACAGTCCACTAGTACATGAGAACCCTGATGGGTAGGCATCAGGGGTAGATCCGTGTTTTATAGGACTTGAAGCTTGTACAATTTGAGGAATAGTTCTTAATAAAAATTTAAAATTTCAAGTATAAAATTAGGTACTGGAAAAAACATGTACAAGTAAGAGGCAATAAAGTTAAGCTTCATTAACTTTGTAGTAAATTCTCCTTTGCATCTGAAACAAACAGTAAATATTCCATAATTATTTGTGGAATAGTTTTAGAATAATAGTAATTTTTTTAAAGAAGTCAGGATGAATGGAAGAGCATGACTTCTAGTGGTAGTGGCCCCTTGCAATGTCATTAAAGTAGTATAATTTAACAGTACCTTATCCTGACCTATCAGGTAAAAGACATGAAAATTAAATATAAAGTTAAGTGGCTTTTATTTTCTTAACTCACTTAGAATATGACCATTTCCCAGAGGTGTACAAACACACTTAATTGTATATATCCATTTAAACTAAATTTCATAAAAACTACCTACACATTACACAATTGGGAAGTGATATAGATACTAGATATGTCTTGTGTCAGACCCTAAATTGTGAACTTTGTCAAATTAAGGGGCATGAAGTTACAAAGATATGCTCACTAGTGAATTTTGCTAAAGACTATATTCAGTTAAGTGAATAGTGAGAAGGCCCATACTGTATCAGCAAGTAAACAGATTATATCATATGTATGTTTTTAAACAGAAAGATTAAAAAATGAAAACCTTCATGTGGTATAGATATAATATCAATTTAAGACCTGATAAGATTTACCTCTTCCAATTAATGACTCCAATTCCCTGTAACAACTAAAAAATAAAGAGGATAAATCACAGAATTAAGAAAGAATGTGAGAGTAAAACACAGAAAATGTTCCAGAAATAATTTGTGGACCACAATTCTTATAACTAACCCCTACATTACTGGTAAATATAAAGTACTCACATTAGTAACTAATAAAGAAAATAGTATTTGTACTTCTTTGATTTATATGCCTGTATACAAGTGTTATATAGTCTTAATGTTAACTAGATGAAGTCTTAGATATTCTTGACTATTTGCTTTGACATAATGAATTTTAAGATCAACTTGTCAAGTTCCATGAAAAACCTTGTAAGGATTTTGATTGGAATTACATGGAATTTTAGATTATTTACCACAAGCAGGTGTGTATTTTAATCAGGTGTTCATTTATGTTGCTTGGTAATAGTTGGTAAGTCCTTCTTAAGTGTATTTCATGTATTTTGCTTATTTTCAGTAAAAAAATCACATATAAATTTTGCCAGAGGAAAAAATAGAAAAAAGCCACCTAACTTATTTTATAAGGCCAGTATAACCTTGATAGCAGTCAAGGGCTTATTAACAGTCAAGCCCAAGTCAAGTCATAGATTTTTCTTAAGAACACAGATGGAAAACTCTTAAATGAAATACTAGTGACCTGAATACAGTAGCATGTATTTTTTAATTATTACCATTTGCTCATTAAAAGATGAGCAGAAGATGAACTCAGCAAACTTCTTCTATTGTAAAGGGCTAGATTGTAAATATATGCTTGTGGGCCAAGAGACAAAACTGAGGTTATTATATAGGTGCATGTATATAATGAGAGAAAACAAATTTATATAAATATTGATGAAATTAAAAGTATAATAATTGAGTACAATTTTCATAATACAAATGTGAATAATGGAATTGTTTTGCTGGGTGGGAGGTTGATGACATTTCACTTATCTAGAGTTAAAAGTTGGTGTTCTTAGCATCAAAATCTATTGCAAATGTTGATTCATTAATGCTGATTTATGATAAGATTTTACATATTTCACCTTTGTTTTTCCTCTTACATAGTTACTGCCAAATATTGATATCGATCTATGAGTATATGGTTTTAATTGAGTATATTCACCTATTAGAAGCCATCTTTAGCATTTTATTAGCTAAAAGATGAGAATGCCTTTTAGCATGTCATTACATTGCAAATTAACCACTTAATATTAAAGTTACTTGATTGAACAGCTAAATAGACTTTGGAATATGGAAATTTCTTTTGTACTTGGATCAAGGTTGAAAAATGCTGCTGTGGATTGAAATCAGAAAGTATATTGCTGGGAATTTGTGTAAGAATGGAGATCTCACTTCTTTTTTTTAACTTTGTCAGTTCAGGAAGTGTATATAACACAGCCTGACATTATTTGCAATTTAAACAATCTTAGTTCTCATTGAAATGACTTGATCACAGTAAAAGTTTCACATTTAACTACTGTTTTGCCTTGTAGTTTTAGGTTGAAACATTTTAAAGTCTGCCTCATTAAGCTAATTCCGAAACCATTCAGAGTTAAGTAAAAGTGACTGAGCCATAGCTTTCATTTAAAAATGTAAACACAACCCATTCTTGTGTACTGTGCAAGTGGTAAGATGTATTTGGCCCATAGGATCTAAGTTTACCAACCCCTGCTCTGTGTTGTCTTATATTCCCAATAGGTGCCTGTTTCCCTCCAAACACTGCAACCAGTAAAATTATTGTTAACTTTTAAAAAACTTATCCAATTTGAAATTACATTTTTTAAATTTGCATTTATTTGAATATTACTAAAGTGAAATATCTTTTCATGATTATAGGCCATTTATATTTCTTCATTGTAAACTGGATGTTCATACTCTTTTTCTATTTTTATTGCAGTAAAATTTTCATTCTGACAATTATTTTGTGTGCCAAAAGGAGTTCTAAGTCCTTTTTAGTGGCTCTCCCTACTTTAGTATTATTTTTCACTGCTTTCTCCCACACATCCAACACTTCTTACCTATTGAAAGACCTGCCAATGCCCGACAGAACTGTTTTCTCAAGCTTCTCTACATATAATGCACATTCTCCATCACCTTTTCTCCATTTTCTCTCCTAGCATAACTCTTACTTATCCTTCAAGATTCAGATCAAAAATCAATTCCTCCTCTTTGGCTCCACAGCACTCAGTGCAAATATCTGCCAGAAAACCTAGAACACTGTTACAGAATTAATTATTGCTCACAGTGGTCTGTCTCTCTACCAAGCTCAAAGCTCTCTGAGACATGGTATTGTAATTGATCTCTATATTCAGGAACAGTGCCTAGCACTTAGTAGGCACTGATTATTTGTTGACTGAATGAGTTCAAAATAGCAGAAGTATTAATAATATTAACAGAGCAGTATGTGCCTAACACATAAATATCAGAAACAAATTTGTATAATAGTATCCCTTGTAAAAAACTTATAATAATATACAACTGGATTTTGAAAATCACTCAGACATCAAAATCTCACCACACAAAATAGCACTTAAAGTTTTTATCTTATTCCCTGACAAAATTTAGTTTCTCAAACATTTTATTTAGATACTTGTCTTTTCCCCTAAAGACTTAAAATAATTTAAATAATTGCCATTAGCTACTGCTATTATCTCTAATTCAAGAAATTTGCTTGCACTGGAAAACAAAATACAAAAAAGAATATTCATCAGCCATGTCTGTTCTGTAGTCTGAACAATAAGTTCTTTCAAAATCTCCTTTGTAACTTAACCAAGATTCATTTTGAATTAATCTTTCATTTTGCTTTATTTCCAAAGGACATCCATTACCTTGCACTAGATAAGGGTGAATTGGCACTAGCTGAAGTGGCAAGAAAACGAGCTAACGACATTGATGCAGAATCAATAACCTCGGAAGTTGGTAAGAATTAATGCTAGTTTAAGTCCTTTCTGTTTCAATCAATACTTACTTAGTATCATTTACATTTATGTTTGTAGGGCATTGTTGGTTAATGTGAATTACTTACCTTGTAAGACAGCATCTTTAAAAAAACTAATTAAGTCTGGGTAAATAGTATAATACGGATATCTAAGTTAGAGATATGTTAATTTGAAAATTGATAATAAGTGATTAATCACTATTTAGCAGAAAGTGAAGAGGAAATTGTTCATAAGATTTTTGAAGAAAAGATTTTATCATCAGTGCTATTATTAAAATTAACCAACACAGAAATTTACATAATCCTTTATTTATACAGATAGACATATCTCAAAAGATTCTCTCCTATGTCAGACAAAGTACTTCACATGGGATTTTAGGTTTGATGGGTGATTTGTTTTCACTTAGAAGCCACTATAGTCTTTTCACTGTGTAGTCTTCCAAAGGAGAGAAATGAGAAACCTAAATTGAATCTAAAGATCCATTTAAAACTTTATTAATATATAGACAAACGAGTTTTTAAAAAACCATTATAGTATCAACAAGGAGCTTTTTTTGTAAACTCAGTTTATCTAATGTGACTAAACCTCTAACTCTGACCTCTGGATATCCCAATTCCTATTCTTCCCGGTATTTCCTTTCCCAAGATTAGGCAAAAGACACTCAGAATTGCAACAGAATTTGTTTCTTTGTAGAACTCCTATGAAACAAATTTGAATAAGATTTCCACTTTGTAAGTTGCTTGGAAATATTATAGCAAGCCTCTCCACATATAGATCTTGTGCTTTGCTTTTGTAATACTATTTGCACCCATAGGTAACAATCATCAGCTTCTCTTTAATATCACCACCAGAGATCCCAGTCTTCAAGATGGTATTGAAGGACTCAAAGCCATACCACCTGGGTGGCTCTAAAACTGAATACCAAAGCTGACAATTTACTTACCAGATAATTTAGTTCTCTTTTCCCAGCCCTGAAAGAGTTCCAAACTGATCAAACCCATGAGACTACCTTCAAATCTCCAATCCTAAAATACAAGGAATACTCACTATTAATACAATATTAGATAAGAATAACTTTAGTTACCTATCACTATATGTTGTTATTTGTTAAGAATATTGCTGTGACCCTAATAATAAAAATAATAGCTAATATTATTAAATTCTTACTATGGGCCAGGAATCATTCTGAGTTATAGTTATTAACTAATCCCCACCATAACTCAGTGAGGTAGGTACAATTTATATTTGTTATGAGAAGTCACTTTTAACTAAATGATGAAGCTGGAATTATGCTGTTATATAATGGGGATACAAATATCCTCTATCCCAATCCACAGTAGGAGGTTAACTCACGGCAGATTTTATGGAAATTTTCCTGAGTTGCCATGTACTTAGCCTTTTCTACCAGTGTATCAGATCTAATGGAAACCAGCTTTGCATTTTAAAGCTACTGAAAGTTACTGGGGATTAAAAGGAATGCGGAGATTATCACAAAATTTCGGGAAAATGAAGAAACTACACTATTTGTCAAAATGGGTCCTGTGCCCTGAGTATTCTTTGATCAGGATATTGTGGCCAGCGGACAATGCCTACCCAGAGAGCTGGGTGTTCTCCTTTTGTGCTCTTCCTCATTTCTAGAAAATAGCTGTCCTTCACTGAAACTGGTTTTCTCTCCATTTCTGTCTTTTTTTCAGGGCTTACCCTTTGACCTCTATTACTATCACTTGACAAAAATGTCACTCAGTAACAATAGTAACTCTCAAGAGGTGAACATCTTAGATGAATGTTCTACCCCACTTTTGTTCCAGGAAACTGGGGTGACTCTCATTGACAATTCCATATGGCATCAGAATCTCTAGTTTCCTCATTGTAGTCTCTGCCCCGTTCTTCCTTACAGCCCACCTCATGCTGGGGAAAATTTTCTCTCAAATAGCCTCAATTTAATTCAACTCTTCTGTCTCAAGCTTTTCCCAGAGCAGAAAATAATTAAATTTTTGGCTTTTGAAGAAGTTCTTTGATGTAAGGAAGAGGACATTGTATATCATCAAGAGTATTTCAGTAGAAGTAGTTTATCTATATGGGAGAGTCTGAAAAAAGTCACACATATAGTAGCTGTCAATACAGTTAAAAGCAAGAGTTGCCAAAGGAGAAGTTGAATGATGATAATCTGAACAATTTTGTAATGTTTTATTTAAATTTTTATTGAAGTATAACATACATACAGAAAAGCACACAAATCATAAATGAATTTTCACAAAGTACACACATCCTTGTAACCAGGATCCAGATCAAGTAACATCCAGATCACCAGAACCCCAGAAGCCTTCACATACCTCCTGCAAGATACCACACCCTCAAACTAACTATCCTGACTTATAACATCATACATTAGATTTGCCTCTTTTCAGACTTTATATTTTATATATATAATTTTATATATATATAAAATTCTTTAGTATTTGGCTTTTTTTATTCAACAGTAGGAGTGTGAGAGTCTTTCATGTTATTGTACATAATCGTGACTTTCATTCTTACTGTTACATAACAGTATTCCAATATAGGAACATATTGCAATTTTATTCTACTTTTGATGGATTATTTGAGTTGTTTCAAGTTGTAGCTGCTGTAAATAGTGTTATGAATGTTCTTGTGTATGGCTTTTAGTGGACATATGTACACAGGTCTGTTGGATATGTGCTTAGAAGTAGGATTGCTGAGATACAGGATACATGCATATGTTCAAGTTTTGTAGCTACTTCCAGTTTTACCAGTTAGTTGTAACAATTTAGCTTCTCACCAGCAGTGCCCAAGAGTTAATGGTTTTTTTCATCAGGTTATACATAGTATTCTTTTTTCATTTTAGCCATTCTGTTGAGGAATACATTAATAATTTTGTATATATGAGAATATATATATATGGAGAGACTGTTTTTAGACTCTTCGTTTCATTGGTCTGTTTGTACTTGAACAAATATCTTACTGTTTTAAGCAACTCTGGCTTTAAGTCTTAATATCTGTTAATGCAAGTTGTTCAGCTTTTTTCTTCTTTAAGATGACTATAGCCATTCCTGGCCCATTACATTTCCATATGAATTTCAAAATCAGCTAGCACCTTCCCCCAAGAAAAAAAGGTGAGGAACTGAAATTCTCTTTGGAATTGCATTAAATCTATAGACCAATTTGGACACAGTTGGTTTTTTAAAAATAATGAGTTTTCTATTCCATGAATATTATGTATCCCTCCATTTATTTATTTTTTTCTCTGAGATATTCTGAAATTTCTGCTGTAATGGTCTTGCACATTAGATTTTCTTTTTCTCTACTGAAAGAATTTTAATTCAGTTATGGTACATAAATTCAATAGAATACTATACTAAAATTTAAAAGGATAAGAAAGAATGGTATATATTGATATTTGTATAGGAAAAATATATAGTCACACAAACCTACCCTAAAAATCTGGAAGGATAAACAACTTACTGTTATCAATGATTGTATCTGAGGGATGGAGATTCCTGAGGAAATTTTCATTTTCTATTTTTTATAGTTCTTAATAGGGTGATCTCACATAATGGGCAAAAATTGTATGGATATTGGGTGTATTTTATTGAGATTTAATTGCTATATTAATTTAAGGCATATAACATCATTTTTTGGTATCTATAAATAATGCAAAATGATCTCCCCAATAAGTCTACTTAACATCTATCACCACACAGCTACAGTTTTTTTTGTGTGTGTGTAAAGACTCTTAAAATTAACTCTCTTAGTTACCTTCAAATTTACAATACAGTATTTTTGATATTGTATGGAACCACAAAAGACCTCAAGTAGCCAAAGCAATCAAGAAAGGAGAACAAAACTGGAGGCATCACATTTTCTGATTGCAAACTATATTGCAAAGCTATAGTAATCAAATCTGTAGACTGAATTGGCTACTTTGGACATTTTAACAATATTCTTTCAATCCATGAGCATGGTTTATCCTTGTGTTTGTGTCTTCAATTTCTTTCACCAAAGTTATGTGATTCTATACACTGAAGTGTATAGGTCTTTCATCTCTGTGGTTAAATTTATTCCTTTTTGAATCCTTTTTGATACAATTGTAAATGGGATTGTATTCTTAATTCCCCTTTCTGATAGTTTGATACTAGTGTATAGAAATGCAAGATTTTTGTATTTTGATTTTTTTATCCTCCAACTTTACTGGGTTCTTTTATTAGTTCTAACAGTTTTTGGTAGAGTCTTTAGGGTTTTCTATATTATAATATTGTGTCATCTGCAAATAGACACAGTTTTGCTTCTTCCTTTCTAAATTGGAAGTGTTTTCTTTCCTAATTGCTTTGCTGGGACCTCCAAAACTATGTCAAATCAAAGTGGCAAGAGTGGGCATCCTTGTCTTTTTCCTAATCTTAGAAGTAGAACTTTTATCTTTTCACCATTGAGAATGATGTTAGCTAGGGGCCTGTCATATATGACCTTTATTATGTTGAGGTAAGTTCCCCTATATGCAGATACCCTCTTGTTGTCTGAGACACCATTCTTTAATGATTTTTCTTCCTCACACTTTTCTAGCCATTCCTTCTCAGTTTCCTTTACTGGTTTCTCTTTATTAGACCTCTGTAAATTCACCAATGCTTGCAGCAATCTAGGGAGTATTCCAAGAAAAACAACTGAATTTCAGTAAGAAGGACAAGTTTTGTGGTGTTTTACCCTATTTCCATTGGCCCCTCCATCCAGCTCCACAGTAGCCTTGAGAATCAGCAGCTCACAACCGTGGCAAAAGATATAGCCCAGGAGAAAGTGAAGAACAGGATTGGAGATCCTTAAAATCCCCATTCCCAGAAAACTATCATTATGTGACTTTGTCTGTTGTTTCCCTGGAAGACCTCCAGTGCAAACATGTTCTTATGAGACCTGAATGGTAGCTCACGCACTGTACAAAGGCTCTTCCCCAGGGCTGTTTGTGTAAAACAATTT